CATACCTTTTGGTTCCTCCTTTCTGGTATTTCTCTTGAATTGTCTCCACCAAGAAGCCAAATCACGTTTCGACGGCGGCGAGGTTGCGATAGTCTCAGGGGGGGCAGCGGTGGGTGGAAGCCGGTGCAGGGGATCGACACCCGGGTGCGACTTGCCGGTGGTAACCATCGTGGGCAGTGCGCGATGAAAATGAGGGTTCCAGACGAGATGCGACGTGCCTGCGAAGGTATAGAAATACAGCGACCGGACCAGACCCTGCTAATCCGAGGCCTCCGTCACCGCCCTTGTTGTTGGCGCGAGAAATTCCGGGGCTGGGAGGCGTGATCCCAAAATAGCACGAGGACTAGTCAGGCAGCGGATTTTAAGTGCCGCGCCGTCCGAAACACGTACAGTAGCAGGGAACCGGTAAAACAGACACTGGGAATTTTTCCGGACGGTGGAGATAAAGGATGGGAGACAGCGAAGGGTGGACAACGCACGAAGGAGAAGGACAGGGGAGATAGGGAGGGATGGAGTGAGAAATGAAAGGAGGTTAACAAGGGAACGCAGGAAGCCGGAGTAGATGTAGGAGAGGGGGGGGAAGATGGGGGCAGGCAGGCAGCGCTGGCAAGAACGAGACGAAGCAAGACAGAACACGAGCAAATCAACGAATGCCGGACTGTCCGTCAACGATGAACGGTTCGGGGTGGAGGAGATGGTGGTGGTAAATGGTGAGCAACAATAAGGGAGTCTAGCAATCAGGAATGAACCTCAGGCTGAGAGGCTGATTTGGGGCCCTCCGACAGGGCGGATGGGACTGTGATTGCGTGGGTGAGCAGCAGCAGAGATGCTTCTTGGCTGGTTTGGGGGTGAAACCAATGACCATCATCTGAACCAAGGAAACGCGAGAGCTGCAGTCAAATCGATAGATACTTCGGAGTGTTGGTCGGTTATGGTTATAGATGGTGAATATGGTGGTGGTTGCTATGCGTGATGATGGGGGGGATGGTGGAGGATGAATGAAGATGATTGTGGAGGAGACGAGGAGAGACAGGAGGGAAATAATGGAAAGGATGGAGCAACCGACGGACAGCCAACCAGCCAAACTGCGTGACAACCGGACGAACAGGCTTGGAGGCGTGGTGCTGTAGGCGGGACCCAAAGGGGAAGACGGAGAGGTAAAAGAACAAGAAGAGGAGGAATGACCAGTTCAGTCACCAGTTCATCCACCAGTCAGACTATGTATCCTCTTCCTAGCAGCACCAGAACGAGGGATCAGGAAGGGAGGACTGAATGAAAGATTCCCAGATACGTAGTTAGAATAGAAATAGGATAGATGTGTCAGTCAGAAGATGGAAACGAGAAGGGGAGAAATGGGAAATTGAAAACACCCCCCGCCAAGCATGGAGATGGATTTGTTGCTCTCCTGGGAATTGAAGTTCTGGCAAGTGGCCCTGCTTGGGACCAGACCCCAGGGTTCCAGGGTTGATGGTTTGACCTCGACCAAACAGGTCCCTTTTTTTTGTGCCCTTTTTTCTTTTTTTCTTAACTTATTTTCTCTTATTATTTTTTTAAACCCTTATTACGGAGTATTATCTACTAATTTTGCTTATTTTTAACCGCCATTTCCAATTCTTGCTTTTATTTCTTTTTTTTCTTTTAGGACTCGGTTCCTTCTCTGCTTATTATTTTTCCAGGTCCGTCGGTTCTGGCCCTGGTTCTAGTCGACCCTCTGGCACACTAGCATGGGACACTAACTGGACCATTCTTCAATCATTCCGCTACGCTGGTTAGATTGCCCCAGTTCTAGCCAATTGCGTCAAGGCCCCTCTGAGACATGAGGCTATCCGGAGACCACACTCAAATGAACTCGCTCTCCATCCGGATAAGGATTCTCGAATGCAGAATACCCTTTCTCTCTCTCCCCCCTCTTTGCCGACCGAGAATCCCCTCACTGGGTATGTGAATGAGTAAACCTTGTTCCTGTTGACTCACTCTCGCCTCCTCATGGCCGATCAGAAAACTATAAATTGAGAAGAGGAAAGATACTCTCCATTCCGCCAAGCTGCTACGACGTTCACAACAAGGTATATAGGCGGCCTGTCGACCCATCGGCTGCTCATGGTTCTAGCTAAAAATATGGCCATGGACCCCCTGATGCAACCCTTATGGCGCTTCCCCTTGAGCAGCGATGCCGCACCATCAGGGTCTTACCGCGGTTCTCCAACCATCGACTGATGTGGCTGTCATCCCAAACGGCCCGAGAGAATGCTGACCCCGCGTCTAGTGGTTTAGTTCGGTCGTGGTGCGAGATTCGCTTGCCCGAACTAGTCCGTCAGCTGCCGATCTCAGGAGTGCAGTTCCAGGTGGCCACTCATCTATCTACAACAGCTTACCCACCAGGCTGTTGGGCTGGATCCCTCGCCAGGTTGATCGTAGGGCCGACTCTTCAGTAGCTCGACTTCGTACATACCGAATATAGGAACGTCCGATGTGATGGTGAAATGAGGGGAAGCTTATGCCATTGATTGAATCATCGCATTCAATCTCAAACATCCAAGACTAAGCTTACTCCATGCACACATAACACATGGAATGTCCCCTGTTGGAGTGCACGTAAGTCCCAAGACATAGATATACAGCTCCAGCTCAGGCGTGGTGTTAACGAAATGGGTCAATTTACGTAGGTATAAAAGCAACAACCAACCAGAGATACTGCTATATGTTCACGACTATCATTGGAAGACAACATGCCCCTATCCGAGTGGCTGGTACCACATAATTTCTTGAGATAGGTGGCTTACTGGTCTGCTGATCTTGGTGGCACATCTTCCACGCAATCACCTACGGGACAGCAATATAGTTTTGTATACTGGGTCCGCTAGAAGTCAGCTAACAACTTGACCAGCTCCATTCCAACAACCGACCCGTGCAAGCTCTGAGCATGATACACCGCGAAAGCAATGAAATCACCCCGACCACGATCCCACTAAGCTCCGGATTGGAATGTGGAATGGTTCTCCCCAGAACAAAACTTCCTAGATCCTTCGATCGAAGCCGGCTAAGACCTGTCGATTTTCTTGGAAGAATCATCCAACAAGCACCAAAGGTGGCTCCTGGCCGAGTCATTGCGGTGGGAATCCAAAGAAGATCTTTGTCCTTCTGGGTTGCTTCTCGACTTCATGGACCTCCGGTTGTGGACGGCGAACCATGGTTCTGGCGAATGGAAGTCTGGGGCCAGCTGGCCGTTGTGCTTTTTTTAACTTGCCCAAAGAATGGAACAGCGCCAGCTAGATTGGCCTGCTGTTTGCCGTTTTGGGATTGCCCTCGGTTCCGGCACTGGATGAGTCAGCTCAATCACCCGCGGTCCGGGTCCGGTCACCTGATCGGAGCTGAGTAGTGCACGTGATCACATCAGAGCCTGCGGTCCGTTGAGCAGCTCCGGAGCTACGGTCGTCATCACGACCCAGGCCTCTTGTTATCAACACTACCCTTTTTGATCAACCTAGCTTCAGCCCAATCACATCACAATGGAATCGTAAGCAGCTTCCCATTTCATGGCTTTTATCAAAAGTTGCCACGACGTGTACTAACCTGTCCCAGCCTCAACGCCTCTGAGCAGCGTGAGCTCGCCTCTCGCATGGAGAGACGCCAGATGAAGGAATTCATGACCGTACGTGAGACCTGAAATAAACAGACATCCTTTTGCGTCGAACTCGAATCCAGCCTACACACCGTCTATACCTTCCTGACCCATCCAATTCCTTCCTCCGCCTATCATCATCCATCATCCATCTATATCATCCCTAGCTGGCCTTCTCCATTCTAATCTCATCTCCATAGATGTACTCCAAGCTCGTCCAGCGCTGCTTCGATGACTGCGTCAACGACTTCACCACCAAGTCCCTGATCAACCGCGAAGAGGGCTGTGTCCTGCGTTGTGTCGACAAGTTCATGAAGGGATCTGCTCGCCTGAACGAGCGGTTCCAGGAACAGAACCAGGCCATGATGATGCAGGGACAACAGCGGTAAATGGGAATTTAGCATGGGGTTCGGTTGCTTTGCTTTGCCTTGACTTTGGCGGTTTCTGTATAAAATATTAGAATTTTTGCAATGATGACATCCCCTAATGGCCGGCGATGGGCTCCGCTCGCTCTTGAGGAGCAGGTTTGGTTGCCGAGATCACAGTATAGAGGTATACTGTTGCTGCCGTGATTGTAATATATGGAATGAAATAGCATTGAGTAAATTGTGCTGATTAGAATGTTGGCTAGTTGTAGCATGTATTAAGCATATTGGACATTTCTTCACAGTCGTGATTGTGAGATAATGATGATGAAAATCATCGTTTTCATTATCTCCAACTCTTTTCCTTCTCCAACGAACGTGAGGGGATCACTCCCCACGATTTTCTCTTAAAGAAGTCTAGCTACGAGCCTTGATGTAGAGTAGTGACTGGAGCTGTGTTGATACAACGAGAATCAAACTTACCCGATTGGGACGCCGACAGTCAGCCGTCGGGTCTCTTGGCATGCACGGGCCAAGAGAGCCGGAAAACATTACCTAACCGGGTTATGCCTGAGTCATCGCATCATCTGTCCCAATGGAGTCATTCTGTACGCCAGACGAGTGACTATCTAGTTATCTTTCTCTACTCGAGGGATATCGAAAGGATGGAGCTCCCTTACGTTCCCTTGAATGCATTGAGACTACTTTGGCGGAGATTGACCCTCCATGATAGATAACACATCCAGTAGCTCCAGTCAAGGCCCACTGCAAACCGACAATACCGGGACCGAACCCTGCCCGCCACCCTCATACACACTCATGCGGAGTGTATGAGGGGATGAATGGTTAGTGTATGCGAGATAAATGATGCAAGACGGAGGAATTGATGGTATCGGGTTGTGTACCCGAAACCCGGACATCTAGAATGTGCCCAGCAAACAGAGCAAAACAGAACAAAAAGGGAGTGCCCCTCACGGCGCCCCTCTTCTACCCCCCTCGTGCTCCCCTCATCGGCCAACTCCACCGTCTTTGCCGACCCGACCACTCTGCTGCCAATTTATTGCTGGCTCAACCTCGAGCTTCATTCTTCCTCTTCTTTCATCCTTTTCTTCCCTTTTCTCATCCTTTATATACCCTTGATTCCCTCTTCCGGTTCCTTCCGGTTCAGTGATTGCCACCATCTTTGCCTGATTCATCATGGCCAGCACTGTCGGACAGGTGAGTTTGTTTGTACCAGCTTTAGCAATGGCCAGCATTGACGCGTGTTTTGGCTAACTCTTCTAGACCATCACCTGCAAGGTAAGAAGCACTCGAATAGTGACCTTCACGATCCAGTATACCAACAAAGTTTGTAGGCTGCGGTTGCCTGGGGCGCCGGAGAGCCTCTCTCCGTTGAGGACGTCGAAGTTGCTCCTCCCAAGGCCCACGAGGTCCGCATCCAGGTCCTTCACACTGGTGTCTGCCACACAGGTTGGTGATTTGAAACAGCGGGATTGAGCAAGGCTGACCGAGCCAGATGCCTACACTCTCTCCGGAAAGGACCCCGAAGGTGCTTTCCCCGTTGTTCTGGGTCACGAGGGTGCCGGTATCGTCGAGTCCGTCGGCGAGGGTGTCACCTCCGTGAAGCCCGGTGACTATGTCGTTGCTCTCTAGTAAGAAATACCTTTTGCAGTCGCAGACTGCGATTGCTAACGTTTGCAGCACCCCCGAGTGCCGTGAGTGCAAGTTCTGCAAGTCTGGCAAGACCAACCTCTGCGGTAAGATTCGTGCCACCCAGGGCAAGGGTGTGATGCCCGACGGCACCTCTCGCTTCAAGGCCCGCGGCAAGGACCTGCTGCACTTCATGGGTACCTCCACTTTCTCCCAGTACACCGTCGTGGCCGACATCTCCGTTGTCGCCGTGACCCCCAAGATCCCCACGGACCGTTCCTGCCTGCTTGGCTGCGGTATCACCACCGGTTACGGTGCGGCCGTTGTCACCGCCAAGGTGGAGGAGGGCTCCAACATTGCCGTCTTCGGTGCCGGCTGTGTCGGTCTCTCGGTCATCCAGGGTGCGGTCAAGAACAAGGCCGGCCGCATCATCGTGGTTGATGTCAACGACGGCAAGGAGGCGTGGGCCCGCAAGTTCGGCGCCACGGACTTTGTCAACCCCACCAAGCTTGGTGGCAAGACCATCCAGGAGCAGCTGATTGAGATGACGGACGGCGGTTGCGACTACACTTTCGACTGCACTGGTAACGTGGGTGTGATGCGGGCTGCCCTGGAGGCGTGCCACAAGGGATGGGGTGAGAGTATCATCATCGGTGTTGCTGCTGCTGGCCAGGAGATTTCCACTCGCCGTGAGTTCATTGAAACTGCAAAAAATGGAGCGATGCTAACTGATTGCAGCATTCCAACTGGTCACTGGCCGTGTGTGGAAGGGATGCGCCTTTGGTGGTATCAAGGGCCGCACGCAGCTTCCGGGATTGGTTGACGACTACCTGAACGGACAGCTGAAGGTGGACGAGTTCATTACGCACCGCGAGAAGCTGTCCGACATCAACAAGGCGTTTGAGCAGATGAAGGCGGGCGACTGCGTTCGCTGCGTTGTTGACCTGTCATGATCTGTTATAACCTGTCATAACCTGTCATAATGTACACTGATGATAATCAATGAAAAAATTACGAGTTAGATAGAAGTGTCTATAAGCAGTAGTATCGAAGGTCTATATATAGGCAGTAGTCTCCAAGGTCCTCAGCTACAGAGTAGTAGGACCTTGCGGTTTACACAACGCACAACATTGTCTGCAGCAAGTTAACCACTGCAAGTACGGAGTACACGGGAAGAACAACACGCTGATCACAACCCCTCACCTCACTACTAGCCTCCTACAACCTAACCAACTCCTTGACCTTAGCTACTAGTATATGTACTATACTAAGACAGCTCCACAACAGATACCCCCTATCTAATCAGTACCACTATCACTATCAGTATCAGTATCAGTATCACGATATCGGAGGACCATCCGCTAGTCAGACACATACCAAGATAAACTTATCGTCGCCCCGCTAATCACCTCATCCAAACAAAAACAGTAGTAAATCATAGTTACCTCTACTGCAGTACGGGCAACCTCCGAGCAAACAGACGCTTAAACTCGGTAATTAATGCCATCAGAAGAGGGGTAAATGAGTAGATCGGCTCCGGGATCGGATTGCTCCTTATATCTACTATCTGCTAGTAGTGCCGTGTATATATACCTCCGTTACTGCCACCACTACCACCAACATCCACCCTCATACATCTTCATCCAACTTACACTACCACCATTGTGACTACTACTACTCCTATCAAAATGACCATCCAATCTCAAACCAAAGACCCTCTCCCCCTCCCACCCCCCTTCTCCTCCATCCCCCGCCACCAACTAACCTTCGGCCCATCCCCGATCCACGCCCTCCCACTAATCACCGCCGCCCTCAACCCCCCAACACCTACCACCATCTACGCCAAACGCGACGACCTCTCCTCCCCGCTCGCCTCCGGGGGCGGAAACAAAACCCGCAAACTCGAATACCTGATCCCAGACGCCCTCAGCCAAAACTCCACGACCCTCATCTCCATCGGCGGGATCCAATCCAACCACACCCGCCAAGTCGCCGCCGCCGCCACCGTAACAGGGCTAAAATGCCGAGTGATCCAAGAAGACTGGGTACCCTGGAATGACGCGCACTACAGCAAAGTAGGCAACATCCAGCTGTCGCGGCTAATGGGGGCAGACGTACGACTTGACCCGTCTGGATTCGGGATCGAGCATAAGTCCACTTTGAAGAAGTTGGAGGAGGAGTGTATCGCGAACGGGGAGAAACCTTATTACATCCCTGCGGGGGCGTCGGATCATCCGTTGGGAGGGTTGGGATTCGCGCGGTGGGCGTTCGAGGTGCGGGCGCAGGAGAAGGAGATCGGGGTGGAGTTTGGGACGGTGGTGGTTTGTGCGGTGACGGGGAGTACGATGGCGGGGATGGTGGCGGGGTTTAAGTTGTTGGAGAAGTTGGATCGGGAGAGTGGGAGTGGGAGGGGGAGGACGAGGGTGGTGGGGATTGATGCGAGTGCGAAGCCGAAGGAGACGAGGGAGCAGGTGTTGAGGATTGCGAGGGAGACGGCGGAGAGGATTGGATTGGGCAGGGAGGGGGTGACGGAGGAGGATGTCGAGTTGTGGGAGGAGTGGCATGGGGGTGTTTATGGCGTCCCGGATAAGAGGACGTGGGAGGCCATTGAATTTGCGGCGAAGACGGAGGCGTTTATTACGGATCCGGTGTATGAGGGTAAGAGTTTTGCGGGGATGATGGATTTGGTCAATCGGGGGGAGATTCAGGGGAATATCCTGTTTGCGCATTTGGGGGGACAGTTGGCGTTGAATGCGTACTCGGATTTGGGGAAGACGCAGTGATACTCTTACAGGGCGTGATATACGAGTGACAGTGTCATACAACGATAGTGTGAGAAGGATAGTACGAATGATTTATTGATATTCAAAGAGTGACTGTAGTTGGCTAACAATGGCAAAGGTGGTCAGCGCCTAGCACAACGGCTAAGCACGTACTAGGTTGGTCTAGAACAGCTTGTGCTCCAGAGTCATCTCCGATTCGGGCTGCAGTCCAACACACGCCCGGAAGATGTTGGTCAGGGCACTGCGCTGCTTGGTGAGCGAGTTGACCACCGGTGTGCCCGGAGGAGTCAGAGGAGCCTTGAGCATGTAGCTCAGCACGCTGAGCACGCTGTGGAAGCCCTTGTACTCGGCCGCCTCATCCGCCTTCCAGCTGATGCGAGTCATCATCTCGGCAATCAGCACCAGGTCAATGATCAAGGGCGACGCCAGCAGCGAGTCCTCGCAGATGTTGAACAGACTGATGGTCTGGTGGCCACCCATGAAGATCTCCGCGTAGTACTCGTCGAGCGCGCGCTTGTTGTCGCCCACCGCAGGCATGTACTTGATCACCACGGTGTGGTCGGGGTGCTCGTCCTTGGCGTAGAGGATCTGGTTGGCCGCGACCATGTCGTCCACCACGTTGGACTTGGAGATCTCCTTGGACCGGAACTGCTTCTGGGAGCTCAAGTTCTTGCCGTCGTTGTTGCCCAGGTGGTTGTAGCTGGCAATAGAGGTGAGCTTGATACCGGCGTTGATCAAAAAGTCAACCAGAGCCGACTTCATCTTGGTCTGGCCCGACTTGAAGTCGTCTCCGCCAATGAAGGCCTTGTGCTGCTCAGCCAACTGGATCGCACCAGGGACGAAGGTGTTCTGGGGAGAGCCGTTGATGAAGGGAACCTTGTCCAGGATACAGGCCACGGCAAAGACAGTGGACGGGGACACCTCCAGGTGGCTGGTCTTGATAGCGTTGAGCAGGTTGTCGGCCGTGTCATTGACGCCAGGAAGGATGTCGGCGTAACGCTCGGTGTTGGCAGTCCACATCACGATGACCTTGTCGAGGCCGTTCTGCGCCTTGAAGTCGCTGTTTGGGTCAGCGAGGAAGCAACAATTACACTACAGCAAACTCACCGAATGTCCTGCTGAATCTTCTCAACGTGAGCCCAGCATGCCTTGGAGCCCTCGAGCACATTGTCGGCCCGGTCCTCCTGGTTGGCAGCGATAAAGTCCGGGTAGTAGATACTAGGCAGGGGCTTCATCTCGGCCATCTCCTTACGAACCTGCTGCTTGAGGGTAGGCTCCAGAACCTGAGCACGGTCCATGGAATCGGCAAGGTTCATGCTGCTAATGTCCCAACCACCAATAGCGAGATCATTGGGGTGGACCATGGGCAGCATGTCGTGGAAAGGAATGTTGATCTCCTCACCGGTCTTGGCGTCAGTACCGAGCTTGATGGTGGAACCCATGACCACAGAGCCGTAGTAGTTGGAGGCGCGCATGCCCTCGCGGGTCTCCCATTCAAGACCCCGGCGGTTGGCAAGAAGACCTGCGGTCACGGTGGAACCATTGTTACCACCCCAGCCGACCATCATGACACCCACCTTGCCCACCTTGCGGTCGACCTTGAAGTGGTAGTTGGTGGCCTTGGGAGTGGCAACGAGCTTGTTGTCGGCAGTGCGGGTGATATCAGTGGTATGGTAAGCATACTGGCTTCTGATTTCATTGTCGGTGTACACGACGTTGGGCGAGTTGACGGTAAACAAAGGAGCGTTGGCACGAGCGGACCCGTTCACGGCGCCATTGGCAGCAACATCAGAGCTTGCGTGGGGAGCCATTGTTCACAGTTGACGATTGGCGTGCGAGATAGATAATACGAGTGTTCAAACTGCGAGTTGTTTACTGGACGTATAATGCGTAGTCCGGTGCCCCACCACGGTTGGATGAGCGCCGGCCGTTGAACGGGTGGTGCCGCCTAAAGAAAAGTAGACAGATTAGCCATGAGAGGTCTCTGGAGAGCGGATTTCTCGAGGGAAGGTCCAATTGCTGTTCTTGGAGCATTGGGAACATTGGGATAGGGGCAGCCATCACCGGGAGACCGCGGAGAATGGTGGGAAACTTACGAGTTAAGAAGTGTGGCGAAAATTTTGACGGTTTTTATCAGACCACGCCTCAGAGAGTGTGATCAAAAGTTGAATTGAGCGAGTGGAAGACGATTGCTAACGAACTGAAGGTATTGATGGGTGGTAGAAGGAGGAAGGGACGAGGGAAGCGAGGAGGGAACGGTACTTATACGGCGGGTCACGTTGCTGACCGTATCCGGATCCAAACTGCTCCGCACCCCCAACCAGCTCAACAGTGCACTAGCCCGCCTTCCTGGCAAATGACAGGCTTCAGGGACTGTCTAGCGAGATGTTGACTTCCGAGTGCCGGCGTAAAAGCGTAAAAGGTCAACCACGACCAGCGCATCCCACAAATGACAATTGCGGTGTGCAGATCGTGTCCATGTCAGTGTCCATGTCTCCCGGGCACTCATGAGTTTGACTGGTGAATGAGAGGCTAGAAATTGCGACAGAGTGAATGTGGCTTACGGACTGTGACTTTTCAGTACATTGAATCTATTCCTTCCGGCTCCAAATGACCATTCCGCTATACAAATCTGCCATAATCTGGCAGTATCTCGATAAACCCCCGCTCTGCCGTTCCCGGCATTGGCCTGCCGCTAGCCCATGAACGGCGAGATAGGATTGTGGGTGCCATAATTCCCAGGAGAGAGCAAGCAGCGGTGTCCCATCTTTGGGACAAAGACAGACTCGAACTCAGGACAGGCAATGGACTCCCCAGGCTGGGGACGGAATGTGGCCTGGGCTCCATCCATCATCGATAGTGGGTCGTTTAGGCAGTGGGAGTCGCGGGGCTCCGCCCGCGAATCGCGATAATGGCAGTTCATTGCCGACGCTGACACCAGACTAGAACCGAGACTGGTGCGAGTTCATAATGCAGAGTGTAAGCCAGATATTTGTTTCATGAATAAAGAGTAGTAACAAAATGCAATCGATCAGTACAAGTCAAACTTGTTGCTGGTACGAAGCTCGACAAGAAGCTCTATCGTGGTGTGCGGACAGGGGGAGCAGCGGAGAGCTCGGCAGACGAGCCGTGGTAGAATCACGACCCCTGGACTATCCATCGGTAATGCGTGCATAACGGCCCAACAGGACTGCTGCCTGGATTGTGAAAGGGGGACTAGCTAATAGCTATACGTGCTCGTCTCCACCATGTGCTGTGTGTGTGGTGTTCCAATGACGGGGTGTAATTTAGTAGGGTTCAAGCTAAGCACACCAATCATGATGTTCTCCTGCAACGCTGCCGTTTACACAATCATGTGATAGCGCCCGCTGTACAGTCCTCAGGCAACACGGCACCGATAGGATAGGGATGCAGCCTCAGGCTGTCCATCGGCCGTGGGATTGGCGGAGGGCGGGAAACATTCGGGCAGAGATTCGGCTAGACCTTCGGCAAGCAAAACTAACCGACTCAGACGCCATGGGCTGACGACGAGCGACTCAGTGTCAGACAGTGAGAGATCCGCTTGACGCACAGAATATATAGTCAGACCATGCTAGATCCATCATCCAGGAGCGGTTCCATTGAAAGGTTCTTTGTTTAGAATATAGTGCTGTGTACGGAGTAGAGCTTGCGCGGAGCATTGCACCAGAACCATACTGTGCACACAGCACAGTACTACTAGAGGGATATTGTCCGCCAATCGGACTCAAAACAGCGGCCGTGCATATCCCGTAGGCAGGTACCCATGGGCTGTCGTCAGCCAGATCATGAGATCGATCCTCCACTACGCACAAAGCATGCCATCATTGTCACAATCCTTAGGTATCCTACTCAATCTTGAGAGCACTGCGCGTCGCCGACTGCCGGGTACTATTGGGGCCGAACCATGGTACGGAGGTCACCGGTTCCTGGACTCTACACAGCTAAGAATCAGCTGGAAGGTTTCGATCTGCATCACCCGGACAATGGTCCACCAAGATGCGTGAGGGCAGTCGAGGGGTTACGACTGTTCTCGAAATTCGGACAGTTTCTAAACATATATCTGCCAGTTGTGACAGGCCATCGGTTTCCCAGATCGTCGGGTCCAACCAAGGAATGACAGCGTATATACACTCTACTAAACCGGGCCCCTTGCTTCCTGCTTAAGCTTCCGGAATATACTTTGAAGTTGGAGATGGGGTAGATGCAAATCACATCTGCTTGCGGGGTTACTGGTTGGGGTGATTGTCCATTCTCATCTTGAACGTTAAGATTGGGATAACAGCATGAGATGTCACTCCTGGGGGCCTGTGCTGGGTCGCCTCGAAGGTAAAGGACTATTGGTGATGCTAAAAACGGAAGAAGAAGCACCGCACTCCATATAAGGGGGAGTAATAGGGGAAGATTATTGGTGTAAACCTCCAACCGATAGACGAGGCTCGTGCGTTCTCATTTGGAGGCCTGCAAGTCCAGTCACAGAAGGATACTCCTCCGTCCTGGAGGTGACAGACGGACGACACCTTGAAAAACATATTGAGCTAGACTAGTTGCCATTCCACTTGCCAAGTTAGACTGGGGGAGGACGGGAGAATCGTTGTTAGTCATGGGGGGCGGGTTGCCCCTGAAGGATGATCTGCGGTGGATGATGGTTCAGGGGCTAAAATGCCTGGGAGGCAACACTATCGTCTGGAAGGTCAAGATACCAGCCATTGTTGCAAACTGATTGGGGAGGTGGGAAAGGGGTAGATAAAAATAAATGAGAGTCAAACCGATATTGAGTGTGAACACGAAAATTAAGAGGCTTGACCGGGGGGTTCGGAGGGAAAGTAGGGTAGAAAGTAGAGTAAAGTATGGGATGCGACCGGAGTAACTCTCGGTCCAGTGAGTGTACACACCGTAGATGTCCATCCATAGGAATCACCCGTCGATAGTCATGGAATAATTATCCTGAAGACACATATTCGGAAAGCAAATCAGCCTCACTACAAGTTTCTCCTGTGAGTAAGAATTCATGCCAATCGCTGACCTGACACCAAAGCAGAATGTGTTCCGACCCGCGGCGAGCTGCAGCCAGACACCTTCTAGTCTTAGTCTTAGTAGGGTTGTCAAGGAGAGAGACATGAAAGTGGTGCTAAAGCAACAACGCGTGTTGGCTGGACGGGCGCAGGGCCAATCAGGGGGAAACATTGCTGGAAGGGTTCGTGGATCGCCCCAAACTTCCAACTTTCTCACTGCGAACACACGAGGAAGTTCTCTAGAGTCCCACCCAACTAGAATCGGTCTTTTCTGCATCCCAGACGGGCTAACTATCCACCCACTGGACACACACTACACTGGCAACCAAGCTAGTCTAGTCTAGTCTAGTTGTTTAGTGTTCTTTCCCCCCCAGCCAAGAGTTTACTACTACTATTAGTATTAGTATTTTGGATGGGCCCTTCCCACCCCCCCCCAGTCAACAATGGTTGGTGCTTGTGCTTTCTCCCTTCACTCTTTTCAGTTCCGACATCCATGCGTCTCTAACCCAACTCCTTCTGGCTCCATCCAGATCGTCCTGTCGCGTCGTGTCGTGCCCTTGACATCTGGGGATGAAATTGTTCCCCTCATGCGAGGAGTCCTGCACTGCATAGATTCACACGACCCTTAAAGCACGCGCCCGGTGTGGCCTGGACGAGCCACTTTCCCCCCCCTCACACAAACCCCCCTCCACCCGCTCATTCCAATGAGCCAGTGACTGGTGGATATCTCTTCGCTATTGTAGACTGTCGCCGTTGCCCAGCATGGCATCCATCATGGAGGGGGGCCTACTGCCCATGATTAAATGCTCCAATTGTGGAATGAGCGTGGAAATCTCCTCCATGGGCGATCATGTGTGTGTTAAACCAATGCCAGGTAAATACTGATTCTCTCTCCCCCAATCTTTTTCGACTTCAGCTATGCTGTCCACGGTTGGAATGCAATGTGTTGACCGGTCCCTTGCAGCGACTCCTTCGCCATCCCAATCCCCTCCGCCGCCCCCGCCCAAATCAGACAATGTGTTACCCTCCAGAACTCCCAGCGATGCCTGGGCCTCCAAGTCTGGAAGGTCCGGCCCTCCGCCTCGCATTGACCCTGCAATGGCCAGTATGTTTATTTGGATACCACGCGAGCCTGCGCCATCCATATATTAGAGTTATGCGTCTCATGCAGTTAACACCGGCCTTCCAGATCGTCCCTTCCTGAACCCCGCAAGCCCAATAGCCAACCACGACCCGTTGGTCCCCTCCCCTCTTTCGACGTCTTCAGGTCAGCGATCGCCGTTCAGAGCGCTTCAGCGCAGCCAGACCTCTCCGTTGCCCGACGAACCGCAATCTCCGGATTCGATTAACCTGGAAACCGCGTTTGCGACGTTCCCCTTACCCCGTTCCATGTCGGACAGACGCCCGAGTGGTATGTCGAACGTAAAGGATCTCAGGTCAGCACCACCAATGCCGTCGGCTCGATTGGCACCGGCATTGGACCGAAATGCGCCGGATGACGATGTACCTCCGCCACCGCTCCCGAAAGATGACCCTCCGGCGACGGCCATGGGTGTTGGGCATAGACATGGCGCTTCGATAGACAGCAAGAGCAGCTACCGGACATCGCTAGCAAGCACACGATATGGAGACAATAGGAATTCCAAGCGGTCAACTGCCATGTCGAGCCGCCGGCCTTCCTTTGGAAGCGTCGCACGCGATCCGTACAAGTTCGTGGATGATGCTCCCCCGGTGCCGTCTGCTGCACCGCAACAACTCCTGCGCCCCTCCCGGATTTCGGACACCTCGGTGGCCGGAGTCGCGGACAAGCGTGAAGGCAGGGGTGAAATATACAGTGGCTTCGATTTTGGGGTGTCGGAGCGGCCGACGAGCGCCAAGGCTGAAATTGACCATGTTAATGCGAGCGCGCTCCGAGTCTCATCGCATACCAACAGCAACTCCGATCGTCTGAGCAGTAACCGCGGCTCAGCAGAATTGTTCTTCCAGAGCCCGTCCCAGAGTTCCTATGGACCCCCGCTCGACTTTGAGCTACCCAACGAGCCGCTGGCTTCGCCTGCGACCCCGGCCAACGGGGAGTACAAGGCCTTCAAGCCGCAAAGCTCTGAATTTCTCCAGCCAGCAGACGCTGAATCTGGTCGCTCCAACGAACGGGATACCAACCAGAGGAAGGATTCTGATTCGGCTAGTGAAGGGAACAACTCCGTCTCCAACTTCGCACGAGCATTGGGACTAGAGGTCGACCACACCGCGAATGATTCAATCACCTCGTCGGATTCCTCGCCGTCCGACACCACCCGGAGTGGAACGTCCCTATCTAGTCTGCCATCGGAAGCCAGTATGTCCCAACGGAATCCCTCAGACCAGGGTCGTCTGGGCCCTGTTGTGGAGGAAGAGAAGAAGTCTCAGCAGCCTGTGCTGGACGAACCGGTCCTCGAAAGTCCGACCGAGCTCGAGCCCCCTCGCATTCCAGAAGCCTTGTTCAGCCCGGACTCACCGACTGACCCTGCCATTAGTCAGGGCAGCCTGTCGCTTGTTTCTGAAAAGAAACCCCAGCGTCCTGAGGAGGAGAGCCCACCGCGGCAAGAGGTGGTGCGTTCTGCGACGGCACCGCAGCCGCGACCCTCCCCTCGGCCCAAGGGCCCCTGCCGTGGTTGCGGTGAAATGATTATGGGCAAGTCCGTGTCATCGGCCGATGGCCGTCTGACGGGTCGATACCACCGCGCCTGTTTCGTGTGCTTCCAATGCCGGACGCCGTTCCAGACGGCCGACTTTTACGTTCTGGAGGACCGTCCCTATTGTGCCCAGCACTATCACGAACGCAACGGCTCCCTTTGCCAAACCTGCCATACTGGCATTGAGGGTCAGTACCTTGAGACTGTTGAACGCCGTGGCCGTGGGCCCGCGGATCGTCAGAAGTTCCACCCGGACTGCCTGAAATGCCGCACCTGCCAGATTCCCCTGAAGGGAGATTACTTTGAATGGTATGGCCAGGTTTACTGCGAACGTGACGCCCGACGGGCGGCAGCTGCTACGCCACCACCTCCTCGTCCTCGCCGTCCAACCATGCCCTCGTCTCCGTTAGCCCCGTCCGGCCGTGGATATCCCCCACCGCCCCCAGGGTATATGGGCCCTCCTGGCCCCGGTCCTGGCTTTGGACCGCCTCGTGGACGGGGTCGTGGTCTGCGACCCCCCGGCCCAGTCGATGGGCCGTACGCAGCGGCGGGACCCCTTCCTCCCGCGCGACGTTTCCCGGAGCGCCGGACTACCAGGTTGATGATGATATGATATCCTTAATGGCTGTTCTGATGGGCGTTGCGCTGCGGACGGCTATCTTTCTTGTTTTTTTGCCAGTGTTTTCCAAGTTCTCGGGCACATTTTTTTTGCCCTTCATATTTCCTTGCCATGACCTAGACCTTTCGCCATATACCCTTCTTTTGCATCTCCAGAAATTGGTTCCTCATCGTTAATTTCTTTCTCCCCTGGCTGGCGAGGTTTGAACTGGGGTCGCTTCTCTTCTTGTATGTTGGTGGTCACCAACAATTCATGTTTACACTGCATAATGTCTGGTGTCATCTTGGTGTTTCCAAGCTGGTTATTCTACTTGGTTGGGTGGCTGGATATCCTCTTGACGGCATGTTAGAGCGTTAATGTATGAATTGATTAATTTCACATTAGCAACATTATTGTCCAGTATGTAAAGTCACTGTAGATTCTCCAAACTAAACATATCGTGTGGTGTACTGCCTGAGGCTGCCGGATGGACCACCTGACCGGGAAATATATATGTACCGCAGATTCACTTTCGACCACCACGTCCAGTCCCCTTCCACAGAAGTATTGGGGATCAACCATTCCCATTCTGCCATCAAACTATCATGTTTCATGCGCTCAGTCGGATGGAAATGGCTTTCATGGATCCTCGGTAGGACCATAATGTTTGCATATCCCTTATTCCTTACTTACTGGCGGGGTTACGTTGACTACCAGCTCTGCAGTGGTTTCGGTGTCCACTGAACCAATTGAGTCGAATCTGAAGTAGCACATAACGAGGCTTCTCCTGCTTGAGTCAAAGGTACTCAATCTTGTCCAGACTGAGCCTCGGACGATGACGAGTCAATTGTGCTCATTCAACCGGCTCGCAAGAGCTGCAAAGATAATTAGACCCGAGTCTCAGTGGACAACAACAGAGGATAAAACAGTTGACTCACCGTTCTGAATAAATGCATCTTCTTCGTGGCCGATACATTTGGCCGGCCTTGCTTCGTGTTCTCTTCCGCTTGCTGTTCGCCGCAAATCGTACTATTAATACTAGGTGAACTGGTGGGAATGTTGTCTGATGTCTTTGGTACGGTCTTCTTCGGAGGAAGGTTCAGCGGGAAGTGCGGCATTTCCATAACGAGGGGGATATCAGGGGACTGTTCTCCGCCCTCCTGGACCTCCATAAGTATGGGGTTGGGATGTCCCGCATACCCAGGAGTCGCTGGTCCTGTGAGTGGTACTGCAGTTCGGGCGATGTACTGGCTTTCCGGAGACTGGGTCTGGGGCACTCGGCTTGGACGGCGTTCTCTAGCGGCGCTCTCGATCTGCCTCAACTTTGTGTGCGTGAAGGTCTCCCTGTTCATCATGGCTGTTGAACGGGCCATGTGATATGCACCCAGGGTTTGATTGATGTCCGCTGCCAGGGCCTTGTATAGGCGCATTATGTCTTGAGCCTTTGTTTCTGCCTGCACGGCCCATATCCACAGGATTTGGTGGTGATTCTGAAGGCCGGGATCACGCTCGAAGGCTTCGCATATTTGATCTCGTGTCGATAACATCTCCTTGAGGGCCTTACTCATATACTCATATAGTGTCTCGGCCATGTCTCTGCACTCGAGGGCGTATACTTGGGACTTTATCATGGGCATACCAGCAGTCTTTGCCTTTAACACGGCGTCGATAGTCTGCCATGACTTGACTGTTTTGTCTTGGAGATGGTTGACCTGGATGATGGCATCTTCGACCAACCCTAGTGTGGGATTCTGATGCGAGCCAGCGCGCGTTGTTCCTAGGGTTGGGATAGCGGTGGGGACATGCACGCCGCCGCGCGGGGTTTCTGGCACTTGCTGTTCAGGCACTTCCCTTTGCGGCTGTTTTCCCTTGGAAAGGTCGCTTTGGGATTCGCATGGGTGGTCTTCATGACGAGCAACTTTCTCGTGATGCTTTCCTTTCCACAAAGTCAGGATTGACCGTCGTCTCTGGGTCTCTCCTTCTTTTTCTTGCCGGGATGCTGCTAAGACTTCTATCCCGTTCATCTCGGTGTGCTGTTCCAGCTCAGAGTGAAGATCAAGGCGGTGTATGTGCGTGCTTTAGCTTTGTGGTGGCCTTCCGTATCGACTTTTACACTGGTGGAAACATCGGATGATCAGCAAGTGGATGGAGCTATAGCTGGAGAAGGAAGATCGGTGGCACCGATCGAGCAACGAATGAGTTGAAGAAGGCGATGACGTTGGGAGTCTGTGGCTTGTCCAGGCTGCCACCTCATGCTGGGTGTGCCTCGGAAGGTCGTGTCGAACCATGGTCAATAGGAAGGGAGTTCCTGTTTGATGGATCGATCCATTGCTGCTACGTCAATGCTCGTCATTCCCCAGCTCTAAAAGGGTTGTCCGTGCGGGCAGCTTCACAAGCTTATCTGGAACTATAATGCGGACCAACCACAACACATGACTCGTGTTACTACTGTACCAGCTCACCGGTAACACAAGGGGTAAGATGAAGAGGACCCTTCTTACCGAAGCTGTAAACATGCACAACATTCTCATCAATCTCGGTCTTTCCTTCCTCCGAACAAACCAGATCGTGCCAGCGCATCTTGCATATCGGCAGCCAGCCACAAGCGGCGGGGGATCTGCAGGAGTCCTCATGGGAGTCAACAACACTTATACCCCTCCCCTCCGTCCAGCTCTCCATCTCCCCAAATTCCTCTCCCACTCTACCAAACACCCATCTCAACAAAACTACCCACCATGGCTGTCCCCTCTGGCCTCCCCAACTACACTCGCCACATAACCAGCCACAACTCCTCCGGCGAGGCAATAATCCACTCCTCCACCGCGGGCGACTGGACAAGCATCGGAGAAGACCGATTCGGTTTCAGCGTCGCCTACACTACCTCTTCCTTCCCACCCGACCTCAACAATGACGCCGACATTTCCTCCCACACAGCCAAAATGGAATCCAAGAACCTCGGGCTCGTCAGTCCCAACGGCACCGTCTGTCGCGTGGTGGACTTTGCACCCAACACAGACCCATTCATGCACCGCACGCGGAGTCTAGACTACGGAGTTGTCCTGGAGGGCGAAATCATTATGGAGCTGGACTCGGGGGAGAAGGTGTTGATGAAGAAGGGCGACATAGCCGTGCAGCGGGGGACGATGCACGGATGGCGCAACCCGAGCAAGGAGAGCTGGACGAGAATGCTGTTCGTGCTGCAGGACTGCAAGCCCATCTCTGCGGAGGATGGTAAACAGCTGGGTGAGGATCTGGGAAAGTCGTCGGATCTGCCTCCTTCTGATGGAGCTAATGCATAACTCCAATCACTATCACTATCTATAGACTAAGACTCTATACACACACCGACAAGAAATGAATGAATGAATGACCCGATCAAGGAACCCGAATAACAACCTTCCCAAAATGCCCTCCACTCTCCAAGAACCTAAACGCCTGATCAGCCTCCCCAAACCCAAACACCTTCGAAACCACCGGCTTAATGCCCTTCTCCTCATAGAAAGCCACCATCTCCTCAAACCGATCCCTCGGACCATTAATAATCCCCTGCAGCGTAACCGTCCGTCTCAGCGCCAGCAGATTGACATTAATCCGATCCTCGGGATCATCCACCTTGCCGGACAAATACCCAATGCAGTTAATCAGTCCCCCGAAAGCAATACACTCGAAACTCTTCCTCAGCGTCCTCGCACCACCAGTCTCAAGGATAACATCCACCCCCTTCCCCTTCGTAATCCGCAGCACCTCCTGATCCCAGTCCGGCGTAGTCCGATAGTTGATCGTGTAGTCCGCACCCAGCGCCTTTGCTTTCTCTAGCTTTTCATCCGACGAGGACGTGATGATCACTATACACACACAGTCTCATTAGCATGCACACCCAACCCCACCCCCAAAAGGATAGAGAACATACCAGTAGCCCCCAACCCCTTCGCAATCTGCAACCCCGCAACCGCGACCCCCCCAGTCCCCTGCAACAGCACCACGACCTCCCCACCCTCACCAGCACCCCGTCCCTTCATCAACTTAATCCTCTCCTCCAAACTCATCCAAGCCGTAACACTCGCAATGGGCAACGTACTCGCCTCCACATCGTCCAGATGCCCGGGGGCCTTCACAAGCCCATGTTCGGGAAACACCCTGTGCGTGGCCAACACCCCGGGCTGGGGATGTCCCAACCCATTCGCCAGTTCCTTCTCGGTGACTTGGCCGGTGATGTGATCGGGCAGGAAGGTCGAGAGCACGCGATCACCGGGCTGGAAGCGGGTCACGTTGGGGCCGATGCGTGTGATGGTGCCGCACATGTCGGAGCAGGGGACTTTGTGCTCGGGAGTGGATGTCGAGGTGGATTTGTGGTGGGTGTATTCGCCTTTTGTTACTGTTGTTGTTGTAGTGGAGAGTTAGTGGGTGGTAGAGGAAGGAGGGTGATGGGGAGGGGGGATGGTACCTTCGACATCGCGGTAATTGAGAGATACGGCGTGGATCTCAACGAGGACTTCGTGATCTCCTGGAATTGGGATGGGGATGTTGGTGGTGGATTTGGTGAGTGAGGAGAGGCCCGTTAGGGGGGTGGTCCATTGGGTGAGGGACATCTTTCTTCTTTATTTCCTTTGTTTGGTTGTAGGTGTAGTTGTAGTAGGGGATGTTGTAGTATATCGAATATGTGGGATAGCAACTGGGAGGATGTGAAGGATGAGGGGAAGACAAAAAGGGAGGAAAAAAGAAGGGGAAAAATTGGAGTAATTGTGTTGATGTCACGATGACCCACTGCGGGGAGGGGGGTTAAATGGGACAATTGATTATCAATCAACAACAACAATAGTGGATGCGAACTTCTTCACGGAAAGGGTTTGCCGGATGGAGAGTGAGGAGTGGAGACTAGTAGTTTATTGTGGTTGTGGTTGTGGTTTCCGACTGGGTTGGGTATTCGCAATTGTGCTTTTTGATCGGGGTATTTTGGATTGGGTGGATATCATGGTTTAAATAGTGCTATTTGTATATACCTGAGGTATGTTTGCACGAAGTAGAACATTGCCTGCTTATATCAGACCAGATAAGGTTCTTAATTCATAACAATAACATGGGGTTTGTAGTGCTTTTTTTTATTTTTATTTCTATTTTATTTCCCTCCTAGAAACGACAGTAGACCATTAGGTTTCCATACGATTGCTTCCTCGTTTCGTCCACAGTATATGAGGCCCGAGTGTGTAACCGTTCATAGTTACCCACTGTTAGTCTGCGATACCTAAGACTACATCGTTTTCCCCGTCCGCCGTGTCACGCTTGTGCTCCTTGGGAAAGTTGTAATGGTATGGAGTCAGTAGAATCCGTGTCCTGACCCTCCGCATCCTTCAAAGAAGCTGGTTCAAGGGGTGCCTCCGGGAGGTGCAGGTCAGCCAGCAGACCGAGGCGAGAAATATGGTTACGGTAAAGATCTCGTTCACCGCGATAGTAGTCTCTTTCCGCAGTGAGGGACCGGATCTGCTCCGCCTGCAGCAGCTGTTGCTCGGTATCCCAGTGCGAAGGCAGTCTGGGGACCCAGTAGTTCCTCCGCATGTCACGATAGTCATCTCTTTGCTTTCGTAGAAATCGAATTTCCCTAGCCTGCTGCCGGATTTCGCCGGCCTGCTCCTGGATTGTCTTATAATGCATGGTATTTAGGCGCAACACAAGAATGTGGCGAGAGCGCCAGGCTGATAGTTTCGCTTGATAGTCTTTTTTTAATTTGTCGAGCTCATCGGAAGCTTTAGACTCCTCAATATCCCCATTCCGGTTTGATTCGTGGTCCACATGCGAACTTGGTAAGATCTCGTCCAGCACAGGTGGCTCAGGGACCCGTGTTGCTCTGTTATCCTCCTCCTTGGGAGTCCTTGTAAAATGCTCAGACAAACCCAAGAACCTCCGAGACGTAGGTGACTTTAAGGAAACTCGATTCGGTCCATCATCCCAATCATTAACCCGGTTGAGGAGCTCATCACCTGAGACACCATTAAGAACGGACATGTGAGGGCGTTTGCACGAACTAGGGGGATGGGAAATTCCCGATATGTGACTACCGACGGAGGAGGCGGGAGAAGCTGGTCGAGACATGTGGTGCTAAGCGACGGTCAAAATTGAGGTGTGCAAGTATTCATCTAAGGACTATGTTCACTGAAGAGATGGGTCGTGAATTGGGAGAGATTGCTGACAGGCCTTACGCAGGGGCGTCAGGCGCTGCAGGTTATAAGTGTGTGAAGATAGGATGAACGCCAGTGATGAGGCTGAGCAGGCCGCCACGTCAACTCGCGTGCGGCCCAACTTCGCCTTCAACCACTGTCGGCCACCATGCCAGAAGGCAATTCTGCAAAAGAGTACTGTCCATATTTACCTGTCCACCAAAGGCAAAAACGCCAGTACTTAACATAGGAAGATCGTTTGAGCTGTGGTGCCCCACTCAGCCGAGGGCTGCGGAAGGAATACGGGAAGGCGTATTAGTATTGATTTAAGCTTGTGGACCCCCCAAACCCGCTTCACGATGCCATCGGACACACTGCTAGAGGATTGCACGATCGTCTGGCTTTGCCCCTTGGAGGTTGAACTCCGAGCAGCCATTGTCATGCTCGATGAAATCTCCGAAGACGTCCCCCCAAGGATTCGTGGACAGAACGTCGTCTACACGGTCGGTGACATCGGCCCTCACAAGGTGGCTGTCGTCGGTTACTACCAAGAACAAGGTCTCGCCGTGTCGGGCAGCATGGTTGCCGAAGTTGTCAGGGACCTGCCAAACCTGCAACTGGGTCTCTTGGTTGGTATTGCTGGCGGAATCCCATCGCCAGGAAGCGATATGCGTTTAGGAGATGTAGCAGTGGCTGTCCCCGAAGGTGATCGCCCTGGGGTGGTAGGATATGACCTTGGAAAGGCAGTAGAGGATGATGGTTATGAACTGAAGCACTGGCAAAACTCTACGCATCCGCTGCTGCGATCAGTGATTAACTTACTTCGAGCTCGAAATGGTCTGCGATTCCGGAGACACTTGCAAGTTCTAGACACGCTATCCGAGTTTCGGAGACCTGAACCGGGTGATATAGATACCACTGACGCGCATCCCAAGGTCCATTACGCTACGATTCTCTCGGGAAATACGGTGGTGAAATCAAGAGCCAAAAGAGAACGACTAAGAAGTCTTTATGGCGGCATCGCAGTGGAAATGGAAGCTGCTGGCATGATGACGCGGTTGCCAGTGGCTGTGATTCGGGGCATCAGTGATTTTGCAGATTCGACCAAAAACAATGCATGGCAACCGTATTCGGCGATAGTTGCAGCTGCATATGCTAAGGAAGTTTTGCTGTGTCTGCCTCCTGAGCATCGACAAAGCCTGAGGCGTATGTCCGGTACGTTGGCTCTGAAAAGGAAATACTTCGAGGAAGCTTAAAACTGCAGAACTGATTTCCACCTTGGCAGTCTCTTTAGACAATAATGCGCAACAAGTGAAATCAACACCATTCGCAGATCAGGACCTTCGTTTAGGTCGGACACTGCCAGAGAAGTGGGCTTTTGTCGGAAGACAGGAGGAAATGGCGCTCCTAGAGAAGGAATTGGGCTTTCCAGCACAATCTCCCATACAGAGGTCGGTTGTCTGCCTCTGGGGCCTCACTGGTTGTGGGAAGTCACAGTTGGCTGCTAGGTTTGTGAGCCAACAGTGTTCAAGTTACCCAGCGCGCGAGATCTTCTGGATAAGCGGCGAAAGCCAGGAAAGCTTCGAACAAAGTGTGATTTCCATGCTAAAGTCGGGGAGTGTGGAAAACCCTTCTTTTTCTGGGCGTTTTGATATGACCGCTGAGAAGCGACGTAATCTCGTAGATCTGTTCTTCGCTGAGCTGGATCGGATGACGGATGCGAGATGGCTGCTGGTCATTGATGGAGTCAATGAAGCCAGTTCCTCGTCAAATGGATTCCCATTTTACGACATCCACAGTTATATTCGGGGTCTTCATCGGGGATATATTCTCCTCACTTCTAGGAGGCGCGATGTGGTTGAGAAGTATTACCTTGGCCGTGAGGTGAGAGGGTTGGACGATAACGATGCCCTCAGTCTACTCCAGTTGCAAGTTCATCCACAGCTAATGGAAGGTACTTTCCAGTCGCTTGTCTTCACCGTTCTTTCCAACTATAGCTGACGTATTACATTTAGGGGCGGCAGATTTGGTGTCAATGGTCAGAGGCCTCCCATTAACACTTCGCCTTGCGATGTCCGTTATATCTCGCTATAGGTTATCAGTTCGGGAATATTTAGAGATGTGGAAGGGGCATAACGAAGCTTGTGAGGTCTTGGGGCCAGATCAAACATTATATCGCTCCATGAATCTGAGTTTTGAGGAGCTTGAAAATGTTGACCCAACCGCAGCAAAGGTATTAACTCTCTTCAGCTTCCTTCACAATCGTGACGTATGGTACGATATCTGTCTTGATGCTACAGGACATATCTATCCGCAATGGTTGCAGGAACTGGCTAGACAGAAGACGCCATTCAGGCGATTTTATCCTTTACTGGCCGATCTGTCCTTCATTGAGATGAAGCTTACCTCCAAAGGCAACCGGTTATGGGAGATACACCCTGCAATCCAAGTGATTGCCAGACAACGGGCAAAAGCTAGCGAGAAAGAATACATATCTTGCGTGATATCTCTTGTGGCTGCTAAAGTCCCGAGATCTTTCGAGACTGATGCCTGGGAGACTATGCGGCGACTAATGCCCCATGTCGAGTTGTGTTGGAGTTACATCACAGGGGGCAAATGGGGACCGAACACTAACTTGACTGAACTGGAGAAGCTGGGACATGTATTCAGAAACTTCGGGAAGTACGTCGAGGCGTCCCTCATATATCGAATGATTGTACATGGTCTGAGCCTCCAGGATCCTACCTCGGACAATAACGAGTTTCTAGCTGATGTTCTCACCAACCTTGGATTGGTTTATACATCCCAGCAAAAGTTGAATCCCGCCCTAGACGCTTTCGATAAGTCGTTTCAGCTGATGAGTGAACACAACCTTCTCACACGTAATGCGTCTATGTCCATCTTGTACAACAAGGCCGTGGTCTATATGATGATTGATAGACTAGATGAAGCGGAATTGCTTTTGCGGAATGCAGCTGCGCACTTCTCGGAAGCTTCACAGAGTGACCACACCCTGATGCGTACTCAGAGGAACAACCTCTACCTGCGCATCTTAAATGATATGGGCGAAGTATTGTTGCGCAAAGGCTCTGCATCTGAGTCACTGGAAGTTTTTCAGCGCATATGCTCCAACTACAAGGACTGGCAAGATAACTGTCATCCGGCTCGGGTGTCTGTGAAGCTGAATATGGGAAGAGCTCTGACCAGGCTCGGTAAATATGCCGAGGCTCGAGAATTGCTTGAAAATGTCATTTCAGTATATACTGAATGGTGGGGACGACGACACCCAGAGACTATGCGAGTTATTAACGAGCTGGCCTGGAGTTTCATGGAAGAGATTCAGAACAAACGGACAAATGGTGGGAATTGGAACTCGTTGACGGGAAAGGCTGAAGAGCTCTGGAACGAAGCACTGATCTTCTATCGCAATTATCATGGAGACGAGTCCGATGTTGTGCATTTTATCGGAACGAACTTGGAAACTCTATACTCCTTGCGACAGCCTGCGTGGAATTTGGAGTTCGACGTTGCGATGTCGGGCTCCAGCGAAATCTATCTGGTCACTGAATGACTTCATTACCAGAGAGCACGGGCCAATCACGCAGACCTTTTCAGCTGAATGGATTATTATGTACAATTCTCAATTATTGGCTCTTTTTATCGTCTGTTGGATGATTCACAGTGACCAGACACTGGACCATATCCTCCACAGCCCAAGTTTCCCTGACCACGGCCTGCTTCGATTCACACGGAATGTACACGGATCTTGCCTATGCAACACCGGGAGCAACCGCAGGGATCAGGTATTGTAGTGTGCGACTTTGCCTATAAACGCCATCATATTCATGCCCCTTTTGCTATTCAGCCGCTCGATTTATAAAGTCCCACGTTACTCTTGACTTACTTATATTCAAACATTTACATGATCAGGATCCACTAAGCCATGATCAAAATGAAGTACTACTTCACTACTTGGGACCCGGGACTTCACTATGATAATACCGGCTTCAGACTTGTTCTCCTCTCTGGGCAGCAGTCTTGGGCATATTCCCTAATGAAAGTAGTCTGTTGGCTTCGTAAATGATCGGATATTGTCAGCATTCAGTTTACTGGTTCAGCGCTAGTACGGGTTGCTCTTAGAATCTCAGCTTCATCCATCTCAGAGATGGAGGTCGCGCAAGGGAGAGCCACGATTGACTCAGAAAGTACCATGCACGTCCCGATAATGGTGATTAGCCCCTGTAGGCTCTCTAGCTTGTTTCAGAGTCTAAAGCTGAAGTGAGATCATTTAGCCCCATGTCTAGTCTGGGGAAAATGCTCTTCTAGAATTTTGTTCCATGATTGGGGTGGCATTGGGGGCTGTGTTCACTAGTAAGCCAAGGAGTAATGTCGCTTAACTAGACACGTAAATCATTGTACCAGGACCATAATGCCAACTAATATCTTTCGTAAGGCTTAAAGTAGCATCTTAACCATCTAAATTAATTAGTATTATACTGCTTACTACATCTAGTGCTTATTATGGTATGTTGTTAACTATACTGCTTACTACATATTAGGTGAGACTTATAGCATCACGTGGTCCGTAATTGGAGATACTCGTTTAGTACCTTACAAGCGTATCCCATTGTCTTCGTACAGTGTTTCATCGACCGCTAATAAGTTTCAGCCCCCGTAAGGCTTTCCGAATTACGAGGATGTTGTAGTAAAGGGAGCAACGCAAATGATATATATCCTTTGATTGTTTGATAAATGTAGACTAGATATTCCATAATCCCGGGTTTTTTGTAATCTCAGGATATTCTCTATAGTGTTATCAATTGGAGTGCAACAAAACATCATCATGAGTTCCTTTCCACCTCCTCCTACTCAGTCCCTAGGTGAGTAGTCTCCCTCGCAGCCGCAAGAGGGTGATCTAACAGATTGTGCAGAATGGGAAAAGCTCGGGATTGCACCTATGGATGGTCAGTATATGCCCTGAGACACGAGAACTGAGACGAGAATTTGTAATATGACTGACAGTTTCTTCGCTATGTAGTAAACGCTCATGTCGAGTGTGAGTATTCGGTATTCACTGGCCATTGGTCCGAGCCCCGACTGGTTGAGGATCCTTTGCTGCGCATCCATGGTCTCGCGCCCGGGCTCAATTATGGTAAGTTTGTGTGTCGAAAGCATCAGATCAATCGCTAACAATACCACAGGTCAACAAGCATTCGAGGGCATGAAAGGTATTGTGACATAAGACCTGTCTACAGATGGCTCCTGAAGGAATGTGGAACTAACTTTACTTCAGCCTATCGTGACCCTCAAGGCCAGATCAACGTCTTCCGCCCCAAGGACCATGCAGCCCGGCTGGCCTTGTCGTGTTCCGCAGTTGCTATACCCACCATTCCAGAGGAACTCTTCCTGCGTAGTGTCAATCTCGCCATTGCCGGGAATGCTGAGTATGTGCCACCGCACGATACAGACGCTGCGCTCTACATTCGACCTCTGGTATTCGGATCCGATCCTTTCTTTGCCGTCTCCGCAGGCACAGGGTACAAGTTCTGCATCTACGTCCAGCCCTACAGGGCCTACCACGGAAGTCAGCCTATACCCGCCTTGATCCTGGAAGACTTGGATCGAGCTGCTCCTAAAGGTGTGGGCCATGTCAAGGTTGGCGGAAATTATGGACCCGTCCTGAAATGGAGTGATCAGGCTCGTGCTGAGGGATACTTCATCACTCTACATCTCGACAGCCGGACCAATTCCGAGATTGACGAGTTCAGTACCTCCGGGTTCATTGGATTGAAGAAAACTGGAGACTCTTTCACAGTGGTGGTGCCCAGTAGTCGCTCTATTCTGAAGAGTGTGACCAGCACCACATGCCTAGACTTGGCAAGATCCATGGGTTGGAATGTTGAGATTCGCCCGGTATGTCTTTCACCAAGCTGAATACGCTCCTTGCCTTGACTGGGATCGGTTATTTATATAGACTAACCTCGAATGCAGATACCATATTCTGAGCTCCAATATTTCGATGAAGTCATCGCAGTCGGTACTGCGGCAATGCTGGTCTCTATCAGGTCGATCACCCGGAGGTCTACTGAGGAGACTTTCACATATAACACTGACGGCTCTGGTGATGGTTGCAAGCAGCTCCAACAGGCTCTTTTGGATATTCAGAAAGGAAAAGTTAAGTCCGACGAGGACTGGCTATGGCAGGTTTTGCCCATTGAGCAGGGAGCTGATGATAAAAATGCATGATTGTAGATACCAAAGCGTGGCATTTATATATAGTATATTTCATTAAATTTTGTTATAAATATTATGGGTAAAAATGTACTTTATTATTAGTGGTCAATCAGAGGTCGGTGTTTGGCTATATATATCATCCAACTTAATAATATGGGTCACGGAGATCTCCTTTTAGTGGATCATGTATACAATGTCACTAGCTTCTGAGCCTTCGCTTTATTTGAAAAGATTACTACTTCTAACGCGATCCGACGATAGGAGACGCACCGAGAAGTTGTATGTCATCGCCCGTGCTATAGCTTTAAAGCCCGTGCTAGGGGTTTACAATGTTGGTGCCTCAGGCATAAACATTTATTTCCATGGCATTGCCGTCCTTCCACGCCTTGAAAGTGAACATTTTCACGCAGAACTAAGGTCTATACAGTGCCAGTGAAACGGAATAAAGGCAATCCACTTGTCGGGCGTCAAATCTATGCAGTCCTACCAATACTGGCAGGTTAATGGGACTTACGGGGAGCGGACGCGTTACTGCCACATCGGACATCCGCCCGTGCGAGAAGATCTGCCTCCAGAAGCCTTATGAGGTAAGCAAAAACAGATTGAAATCGTCATAGAAGGTTGCTAATAAGTCATGCTTGGTTACTATTACGGTAGTCAGCGGTTAGTGTGAAATGGCATAATTGTGTGGCTTAGGAGACTGTTCTGCAATTACATGAATTCTAAAGTTAGTTCACATTACAATACTTACACGGTTACGCACATGAGCTTACGGTACTTATTACTGTATTTCTGTGTAATTGGTTCGTCGCCCGACCCCGCATCATCAACTAGTACTGATAAGATCGGCCATGAACTGCGCCATGGAAGCCTCTAGTTTCTCGCGTCAGCTTCCGCTGCGAATAGAGCAGGAGGAGAGTCTGCCATGAACTCCATCATGGGTCCAAACGCGCCGCCATCGGCTGCGGCCACGAGGCAGAAAGCTGAGATGAGCTAGCTACTAGCGCCGCACATGGCAAACAAGTCAGGTGGGATGGTCAAGCCTCCCATGCTGACAGGAGGTCTTACTAGAGAATGCTCGGAACAGACTGGCTAGGGCTGAACTTCGTGTTGAAGGGGCGCTTTCTCGAGAGGATCCGGGTTTCATGAAGCTAAGCATAGCCATGAGTGGATTGGGGGCCTATCGTCATCAACTGGGTGTGAAACCCCGTCACATGCCATCTGCCTCCATTTAAATCTGTCGGAGTTGAAAAAGGGATTTGAGATCTTCATGTCACTACTCTGAGTTGATTTGAACCGTTAATCTGGGTCGGCGCGCAGGAGGCACCCATGGCTGCCGATATGGATACCCAGCGCAAGCTGGCTCGCATACTGCTCATTGAGCTTATGGCGTGAGTAGAACCAGGAAAGACAAAGCATGGTACAAAGTGCACCGGCTAACAGCAGGCTTTATCTGACCTAGATATCAATTTGCCTCCCCAGTGCAATGGATTGAAACGCAGGACGTAATCCTCTCTCGCAGGGAGTGCGACAAGATCGTTGAAATCGGGCCCACTCCGACACTCGCGGGCATGTTTCAGCGAACTATCGACAGCAAGTACCAGACTCAGGAGTGCACCAGGTCTAAGCCCCGACGACTCTTGAATTCTGAGAAGAATACCCAAGAAGTTTATTTCGAAGAATCTCCTGGCGTTCCTGACGTTAAGCCGAAGGAAAGGACAAATGACGCAGCAAAACCAGCTACCAACCCATCACCTGTCAAAACAGAAGTAACACCTGTAACGCAACCAGAGACGGTATCGGCACCGACACCGAAGCCTACAACAATAGAAATCGAGGATGAAGGAGTAAAGGCACAGCTGATTGTGACCGCGATAGTGTCACGAGCGCTTAAAAAGGCGCCGTCCGATGTTGACTGGACTAAGTCTATCAAAGTTCTTGCTGGCGGTAAGTTCAGTCTATAGCGGCCCGTTAACTATTCTCCCCGGATGCTGATGAACCCAAGGCCGCTCAACGTTGGAGAATGAGGTCGTTGGAGATCTCCATGCAGAATTCGGCTCGCTCCCAGAACGCGTTGAAGACACGCCTGTGGCTGAGGTGTGGCAGGCGATCCAGGCAAGTCATAGTGGAGTACTCGGAAAAGTGTCTACAAACATGATTAATTCACTTTTCACTTCCAAACTACCCAGTGGCTTCACCACCGCCGCTGCGCGAGATCGTCTTAAGACACAATGGGGTCTCAAACAAGGGCGGCAGGATTCTTGTCTACTCCTTGCAACAACAGAGGCACCCGTGACGAGAATTTCGTCTGAATCCGACGCGAAAACTTACATTGACGGCATCGTGGAGAGCTATGCTTCGAAAAACAGCATTCCTTTACCGACATCTCACGCCTCTGCGGACGGAGCCTCGGCTTCCAATATCATGGTCGACCCAGAAGCATTGAAAGCAATGTCTGAGGCTCAGAAAGCAGTGTCAAGACAACTTCTTAACATTTATGCCTCTCAGCTCGGTCTAGACCTGGGAGCGGATCGGCAAGCATTAGACGCTCTCCATAACGACATCAGAACCGGGCTGCAACCAGAGCTGGGTCTCTGGACGGAGGAGCACGGGGAAGACTACGCCAACGGTATCAGGCCAAAATTCGATTCCCGCAAAGTTCGCACGTACGATTCGGCATGGAGTTGGGCCCGTCAGAGGCTCCTCCAGCTTTCCGAGCTGATAACGTCAGCGCAGCGTGGAGATGAACTCACCCTCGATCAAGGGAATGTCCTGCAAGCGTGCTACGCAATTGCCAACGCGGCAGATGAGTCACTACTCCATGTTATCAATGAGGTGTTGGCAAAGCTGGGGAATTCTGCAGTTCCGCGCCCTATCTTCACTAATCTAAAGGCTCTGTGCAAGCATGTGCTGGAGTTCGGTCCAACCTTCAAAGGATCCCCCAGACAGATGGCGCCATGCACAACTATCGAGAAAGACGGAACGATACGATATCACGAAAAGGAACGTGCAGATAAAAGTCCTTTTGCTCAGCTGGCATCACCAACATCCGAGGATGGTGCTCTTCCCTATATTCACCTAAGGGAACAGCAGGGAGGTGCATGGTACTACAGTCGCGCATTGACCGCAAAATTTCAGAATGCGCTCACTCTGGTGCACGACCGAGGCTCGTCCTTCAATGGGCAAACCGTGCTGATGACGGGAGCGGGAATTGGTTCAATCGGAGCTGCAATGATTCGCCACTTCCTACAGGGGGGAGCCAGAGTCGTTGTCACAACCTCCTCCCTGACTCCCGAGGTAGCCAGGGTATATCAGAGTATCTACATGGACCACGGTGCCAAGGGCTCTCGACTCGTGATTGTTCCCTTCAACCAAGCCAGTGTTAAAGACATCGAGTCCTTAATCGAGTACATCTATTCGCAAGGTGGTCTTGGCTGGGACATAGACTGCTTTATTCCTTTCGCTGCTATTAGTGAGGCTGGCCGACGACTCGACTCTATTGACTCGAGATCCGAGCTTGCCCACCGTTTGATGCTCACGAACGTCCTACGTTTGCTGGGCACCATCAAGTCCAGCAAGGAAAAGTTTCACTATCATACCAATCCCACCCATGTCATTTTGCCTCTGTCTCCCAATCATGGAACCATTGGTGGGGATGGCCTATACGGTGAGTCAAAACTGGGATTAGAGACGCTGTTCAATCGGTGGCACTCGGAGGATTGGCAAGACTACCTGTCCATCTGCGGTGCCGTCATCGGTTGGACAAGAGGAACAGGTCTAATGAACCAGAACGATCTCATCGCAGAGGGCATTGAGGCGGCAGGCATGCGGACCTTTTCTCAGGAGGAGATGGCCTATGCTCTGGTCTGCCTCTGCATGCAAGAAATGACTGAGCTTTGTCAGGAGAGACCCCTTTACGCAGACCTAACGGGCCGAATGGCAGAGGTGCAGGGGCTCGGAGAAAAGCTGCAAACGCTGCGTCAGGAGCTCAAGGAAAGAAGCGAAATACAGGCTGCGCTTCTCGCAGAATCGATACTAGAGCAGCAATGCTCGACTACCGGCCAATCCTCACAACCGAACACCAGCTCGGACCGACTCGAGCAGAGAGCACATGTGCGCTTGGACTTCCCCAAGCAGCTGGACTACGATCGCGATATTCGCGCCCTTGGATCAGATCTCCAGGGAATGGTGGACCTGGATCGAACTGTAGTGGTGACGGGGTTCTCGGAGTTAGGGCCCGTGGGCAATGCTCGCACGCGATGGGAGATGGAGGCATATGGCCAGTTCTCCCTCGAGGGCGCCATTGAACTAGCCTGGCTCATGGGATACATCAGCCACTTCGCTGGAACAATCGATGGGGCTCCATACTCCGGGTGGGTAGATACTACAACCAAAAAGCCCGTCGCCGATATCGATGTGAAATCAATTTACGAGGAAAGAATCTTGACTCATACCGGGATCCGTCTAGTCGAGTCAGATAATAAGCCTTTCCTGCATGAGATTACATTGCAACAGGACTTGGAACCTCTCGATATGCCTGAGGCCCTCGCGGAGCAGATGAAATCGGAACATGGAGAGTTCGCCGCGGTTCAGCAATCCACGACACCAGATCTTTTCACGGTTCAGCTTCGCAAGGGTGCCAGACTCTATATCCCTCGTGCAATGCAATCCACTCGCACCGTGGCTGGACTCATACCGACTGGCTGGGATCCACGTATTTATGGTATCCCCGAGGAGATCGTGTCTCAGGTCGACCGGGTTACGCTTTTCACACTGGTGTGTACGGTCGAAGCGTTACTGTCTTCTGGGATCACTGATCCGTATGAGCTATATCAATACATCCACGTGTCTGAGGTAGGAACATGTATTGGTTCGGGTCTTGGAGGTGCCACTTCTCTGAACAAAATGTTCAATGGGCGCCAAAGGACTCATGATATTCCGAAAGATATCCTACAAGAGACCTTCATCAATACCACAGGGGCTTGGGTCAACATGCTTCTGCTCTCGGCAAG